CTGAATGGCCAAACCAATCCTGAAAAAGAAAACCAAAGCTGGAGGCATTATAATTTTGGACTTCAAATGTACTACAAAGCTGTAATCATAAAGACAGTATGATATTGGCACAAAAACAGTCACACAGATCAATGGAACAGAATAGAGAACCCAGAAATGGACCCGTAAACGTATGGCCAACTAATAATCTTTGACAAAGCAGGAACGAACATCCAATGGAAAATAGACGGTCTCATCAGGCAATGGTGTTGGGGAAACTGGACCACTTTCTTATACCATACACAAAAATAAGCTCAAAAGGGATGAAAGATCTAAACATTAAGACAGGAAGCTCTCAAAATCCTAGAGGAGAAAACAGGCATCAACCTCTTTGACCTCAGCCACAGCAACTTCTTACTCAACATGTCTCTGGAGGCAAGGGAAACAAAAGCAAAAAATGAACTATTGGGACCTCATCAAGATAAAAAGCTTCTGCACAGTAAAGGAAACAATCAGCAAAACTAAAAGGCAACCAACAGAAGGAGACAAGGTATTTACAAATGACATATCAGATAAAGGGTTACTATCCAAAATCTGTAAAGAATTTATCAAACTCAACACCCAAGAAATAATCCAGTGAAGAAATGGGCAAAAGACACGAATAGATACTTTTTCAAAGAAGACATCCAGATGGCTAACAGACACATGAAAAGATGCTCAACATCATTCTTCATCAGGGAAATACAAATCAAAACCACACTGAGATACCACGTCATACCTGTCAGAGTAGCTAAAATTAACAACCCAGGCAATAATAGATGTTGGCGAGGATGCGGATAAAGAGGAACCTTTTTGCACTGCTGGTGGGAATGTAAACTGGTGCGGCCACTCTGGAAAACAGTATGAAGGTTCCTCAAAAAACTAAAAATTGATGACCCTATGTCCCAGTAACTGCACTACTAGATATTTATCCAAAGGATACAGGGGCACTCTTTCGAAGGGGCACGTGCACCCTTATATAGCAGCACTATCGACGACAGCCAAAGTATGGATAGAGCCCAAATGTCCATCAACTGATGAATGGATAAAGATATGGTATAAATGCAATGGAGTACTACTCACAATCAAAAAAGAATGCAATCTTGCCATTCCCAACAAAGTGTAGGGAAACTAGAGTGTATTATGCTAAGCAAATTTAATCAGAGAAAGACAAATACCATATGACTTCACTCATCTGTGAAATTTAAGATACAAAACAGATGAACATAAGGGAAGCAAAAATAATATAAAAACAGAAAGGAAGGCAAAGCATAAGAGACTCTTCCATACAGAGAACTGAGGGTTGCTGGAGGGGTTTGGGGTGGGGGAATGGGCTAAATGGGCCAGGGGCATTAAGGAGGACACTTGTTGGGATGAGCACTGGGTGTTATATGTAAGTGACAGATCGCTAAATTCTACTCCTGAAATCATAACTACACTATAGGTTAACTTGGATGTAAGTTTAACAAATTAATTAAAAATAAATAAATAAATAAAATGATATTCCTAAAAAACGTAATAGTTAATATTTGGGGTGCCTGGCTGGCTCAGTCAGTTAAGTATCCAACTCTTGATTTCGGCTCAAGTCATGATCTCATGGCTCGCGGAATGGAGCCGTGGGTCAGGCTCTGTCCTGACAGTGTAGCGCAGAGCCTGCTTGGGATTCTCTCTCTTTGCTCCTCCCCCACTCACACTCTCAAAATAACAAACATTAAAATAATAATAACAACTAATGTTTGGTAAATGTTTATCATGCTCCAAGCACTATTTGAAGCACCTTGTAATATCAACTCATTTCATGCTAATAATCCCATGAGGCAGCTACTTCTATCATCATCAGTTTTATCACCATCAATTTAAAGATAAAATACAGAGGGGATACCTGGGTGGCTCAATTGGTTGAGCATCCACCTTCAGCTCATGTCATGATCTCACAGTTCGTGGGCTCGAGCCCCACACTGGGCTTTGTGCTGACAGTGGGTAGCCTGCTTTGGATCCTCTGTCCCCACCCCACCCCCGCCCCTCCCCTGCTCTCACTCTCTCTCAAAAGTAAATAAAACATTAAAAAAAAGATAAGACACAGAAAAAAACGACTGTACAAAATCAAACAGTCAATAAGTGGCAGAAGTGGGATTTAAACCAGAATAATCTGGTTTCAAAGCCTGAACTCTCTCTCAATCTGTGCTATGCTGGTTCTCCAAAGATCTTTTTGTTTCTCCTATTAAAGTGTGAGTTCCCGGGGCGCCTGGATAGTTCAGTTGGTTAAGCATCTGACTTCGGCTCAGGTCATGATCTCATGGCTCATGAGTTCGAGCCCCAGTTTGAGCCCCGCATTGGGCTTTGTGCTGACAGCTCAGAGCTGGACCCTGCTTCGGATTCTGTGTCTCCCTCTCTCTATGCACCTCCCCTGCTCACACTCTCTGTCTCTCAAAAATAAGTGAACATTAAAAAATTTAAAAAAAAAATTTTTTTTTTTAATAAAAATAAAAAAGTAAAGTGTGAGTTCCCAAAGGCTCAACTTTTCACGTTGCTGTTTGTTGTTGAGAGGCAGGGGAGTTAACAGGGAGGAAGCTGGACAGTGTCAGCATGTAAGACAATTCCTGGTACATAGCATTCGTAAGTATTTGTTGAGCTGAACTGACCATGAATATTTAACTAAAATCTGGATTGTTTTCCCCATAGGTTGAGGATCAGCACATTTTCTGTAAAAAGCTAGATAGTAAATACCTTAGGCTTTGCAGGCCATAAGGTGTCTGTCACAATTACTCATATCTGCTCTAATGGCACAAAAACAGCCATAAAATTCTTTAATTAAAAAACATTTAATGTTTGTTTATTCTTGAAAGAGAGAGAGAGCATGACGGTGGGGGGACGGGGGGGGGGGCGGACAGAAAGAGAGAGACACACAGAATCTGAAGCAGGCTCCATGCCTCGAGCCGTCAGCACAGTGCCTGACACCAGGCTCTAATCCACGAACTGTGAGGTCATGACCTGAGCCCAAAGTCAGACACTCAACCACCTGTACCACCCAGGCACCTGCAGACAATTCTTAAATGAGAATGGCTGTGTTCCAATAAAACTTTATTTACAAAAACAGGTAGAAGGCCACCTGGCCTAGGCTGCTGACTCCTGCTACAGGTGATAGGAATACATCAAAGGTTTCTAAACAAGAGGAGTAAAAAGGTTGACAATGTGCTTTAAAAAGATAACTGTGATGACAATGAAATGGAAAAAGCGAGGAGGTCCATTATTGGAATCAGAAATGATGCTTCCCCCTTTATATTTCTATAATCATTGTAAACAGTACTGTCCAACAGAGATACAATGGAGGACACAAATATGAGCCACATATATAATTTAAAATTCTCTAGAAACTACATTAAAAAAATTAAAAGGAACAGGTAAATTTTAATATTGTATTAAATATATCCTTCATGTTAAATATACATACATCCAATGTTTATGATATACAGAACATATTGTGTTAATAAAATTATAATGTATATCCAACATATATCAGGTATATCCAATACATCCAAAATTGTCATCTTTACAATCAACTTAAAAATTGAGATATTTTACATTCTTTTTCAAAGTAAGTCTTCAAAACTCAGTGTGCATTTTACTCTTACAGCCATCAATTTGGATTAGCCTCATTTCAACCATAACCACATTGACCACATGTGGCTCTCATACCGGATAGCACAAAAGAATGACCAACTCAAATACACTACAGATCTCCAATGCAGCTGATATTTTGGCTATCATGTCCTTCCTGGCTTGCGGACTGATTTTAGGCCTAATTCTGAGCTATATACTCAATAAAGCAATGTCTCCATTTCAAAAAAATAGATTTATTGCGAGAGAGACCAAGTGAGGGAGGAAAGAGAAAGAGATGGAAAGAGAGAATCCCAATCTCGCTCCACGCTGTCAGCATCAGAGCCCCAAGTGGGGCCGGATCCCAGGAACCGGATCATGACCTGAGCCGAAATCAAGGGAGTCCCACCCTTAACAGACTGAGCCACCCGGGTGCCCGACAGTGTCTTCCTTTTGAACCCCACATTTCCACACCATTTAGTTTTCACATACACTTTCAGACAGGATGCTCAGATCCTCAGATTAGGCCCTTTATGTCAGTTTCACAAATGAGGAAACAAGGCTCAGAGAAGAGTCAACTAAAGGGTGGAGGAACAGAGACAAAACTGAGATCTCCTGACTTGTAATCAAATCTGTTAAGTGCTAACAGCTCCCCTTCCTTTGTCAAAGTGGTAATTTTGCATTTCTCTGGGAGACTGGTCTTTATTTCCTCCCCCACTGATCTGTAAACTCCAGGAAAACAAGAACTGTCCTTCCGGACCACCCACCGCCCCACTACGCGGCAAGGTGTTTTGCCAGGAAGCAGTCGTCGTTGAAATGAATAAATGAAATTTATAGCTTCCCCCTACTGTTTTCAGGCGATTAAACGTAACTTATTTTTAGTAACTACTGTGAAGAAAAGACAATACACCATATAAGCTAGAGCTTCAATATACTTCCCATATAATTCAAAGGAGAGCGAAAAAAGGACGGGGAGCTAAGGTCTGAGTTCCAGCGCCGTCCGAGCAGTGAATTTGTGATGAGCCCTCGTGTAAATTACTCCACTTCTCAGGACAAAATTAACTTTGTCTCAAAAAAAAGAGAATGTGGCCATAATTTCCACGATTCGGCTCAGACCTAAAACATGTATTTTTCTAAGTTAACTCGTTGCGGACCAGGTTCCCATTTCCTCCATATCCTCCCTTCTGTGCCGTCAGCAACCGCCGACTCGGTGAGAGAAGGAACACTGGGTTCCAGCTGCGGTTCTCTCCGCGTCCCGGGACGCTCGCCACACACCCAACTGCAAGCCGGTGCTCTCTGCCCAGAGCCGCCATCTTCCCCCCGCCCCCCTCTCCTTGGCCGGACCCCAACCGCCACCCGCGGGCCGGGGTAACGCGGAACCTCACCTCTCCTCGCAGTCTTTGCATTTCACCTGCAGCGGGACTAGTTCCTGGAACAGAACCTGGCTCATGTTGGACCGCTGCCCGTGCCAGCGAGAGGAAAAGTCCAGCAGGCCCGGCCCGCGGAACTCGCCGACAGGCGTCCGGGCCCTGCTAAAATTTGAGTTTGGCGCTCGGCTTCCGCTGAGAAGGCGGGGAAACAGAAACCGAGGGAGGGCGCAGGAGATTTGGACCTCGTCAGCCACCATCCGTTTTTTCCGGTTTTTCAGGGGACGGGCGGTAGTTCCGCAGATTAGCCTGCGTGGCGGGACCCGCGGGAGCCATATTTGTTAAGGGAAGAGGACCCAAGGGAAGCGGGGAACTTTTCTTCTCTTCGCCCAATGTTTGCCAACCCAAACGAACTCTGAGTTATGGCGGCTTCTGCGCCGACCCCGCACACGACTGACTTTCCAGCTGAGGGTCGATGCAGTTACTATGTGGAAAAGAAGAAGCGATTTTGCAGGATGGTGGTGGCAGCGGGGAAAAGATTCTGCGGGGAACACGCTGGAGCCGCGGAGGTCTGGTATTGCCCTACCCTCTCCAGAGTTGGAAATAAGTTTCTTGGTCCAGCAACTCGCCTCTGACAGATTTCTGCTTCTGGCCCCTGGATGTCCCAGATTTTCGCGTTCTAAGCGCAGTCCTGCTCTCCCCAGGGAGCGATGATGAGTCTTAGTGAAGTGCAGTGGTTTCTTGTACTAAGTAAAGCAGCGCCAGCAGTGACCCGTTTATTTTGATCCTACCTCTTGGTAATACTAGATCTTAATTTTACTCCAGACTACCGTCTCTTAACACTCCGCCCACTCTCCCCTTTCCTGAGGGGTAAAGGTAGTTTAGGAAGAACAGTGATCAAAGATCCCAAGGTTTCACTAATTGTGTTCTGATTGTTTTGTGAATGATAATCGCTTCTTTCTGAATGCGGTTGAGAAACTTTTGAAAAATTTTGTTTAGATCTACAACTCTTTAATTGTAGAAAACAAGGTTACCAGAGGGGAGATGGGTGAAATAGGTGATAGGGATTCAGGAGCGCACTTGTAATGAGCACCGAGTGATTAAAATAAAAACGTAATAAATATTTAGAGTACAGTCTTTTGAAAGCAACTTATAACTGCTGAAAGGGGGAAGGAAAGATATAATATGTAGGAATTGGCTCCTTTTAAAATCGATAAAGGGCACAATTTTGTTCAATAATACAGTTATACATATGATTGTACTGTCAAACGGTATACAGTTGACCCTTGAACACGTATTTAAACTGCTCAGTCCACTTACATGTTTAAAGACGAGATAAACAGCCCTTGATCAAAAAAGGAGATTTATGATAGAAGAGTTTTGTTCTCACTCTAAGCCCTTCTACTTCACCATAATGAGACATCTGGAAGATGAATGCATTTGGTGACAGTAGTAGAATGTGACTAGATCCTTACAAGCTGATTGGTATTCCTGGGGAGGAAGGAATCTTGTTATTGGTCCCTTGAAGAAAGATTACAAGATAAGTGAAAATACTTTTCATGACACAATTTGGTTTTCAACTGTGGGCATCCAACTGAATCTGTGATTTATGATATAATGGGGTGTATGTTTCCATCTTTTTGTCTTAAGTCTCATAGAGTTGAGATCACTTGTACACATTTTTGGCCACTGGTTATTGTTGTTGTTGTTTTCTTACCCACTGGTTCTTAAGGTGATTTTACCCCCCAGGAGACACTTGGCAATGTTTGAAACATTTTGGTTGTCACAGCTGAAGAGTGTTCCTGGCATCTAATAGGTAAAGCCAGAGATGCTGTTAAATATCCAACAATGCAGAGGACAGCCCCCCCCCCAAAAGAATTACCCAGCCCCAAATGTCAGTAGTGTCAAGGTTGAGAAACCCAGTTTCTAAACCCAAATAATAAAAGTGCTCCTCCCCCCTACTGTATGGTTAGGTTTTTTTTTAATGTTTTATTTATTTCTAAGAGAGAGAGAGAGACAGTGTGAGCAGGGGAGGGTCAGAGAGAGAGGGAGTGACAGACTGAAACAGGCTCCAGGCTCTGAGCTGGCAGTCAGCACAGAGCCCGACGCGGGGCTCGAACCCACGAAACGCGAGATCATGACCTAAGCGAAAGTCGGACGCTTAACCGACTAAGCCACCCAGGTGCCCCTGTATGGTTAGGTTTTGAGGAGTTAACAAAGAGTCTTCTCTTTTCTTGGAGGTTGCATTTTAAAGTCAGCAAGTGAGGAAAAATAATGCACAATATTTTCAAAAAATAATCAAAAGCCTCTTAGCTTTCCGATGAAATTTAGTCATTGTATCTTGGGAGTTATTCAGAACTGAAATAAACTGAAAAAAGATTTGCTAATAGTAACAGTGAACAGTTAGCATTTACTATATGGCCAGTGACATGCTAAGTAATTTTTTAAAATTTACTTTTACTATTAGCTCACTTAATTTTTACAAGCCTTAGGAGGTGGGACATATTCTCATCTTTCAGATGAGGCAATAAGCCTACCTCAGGTCATAGAGTTAGGAGTTGATAGATCATACCTAGGCAGTCCGACTGACCTATGGTTTTAACTATTTTGTTGCATACAGATTCATAAGCATATTGAATAGAATTGCTAGCACTATTAATTTTCCTTTGTTTTTTTCAAGCAATGTAGTTAAATTCATGTAACTTAGAAACAAAGAGGCTAGGGGCGCCTGGGTGGCTTAGTCGGTTAAGCGTCTGACTTTTGCTTAGGTCATGATCTCGCAGTTCCTGGGCTCGAGTCCCTGTCGGGCTCTGTGCTGACTGCCAGCTCAGAGCCTGGAGCCTATTTCAGAGTCTGTGTCTCCCACTCTCTCTAACCCTCCTCTGTTCACGCTGTCTCTCTCTCCCTCCTAGAAATAAATTAAAAGAAAAAAAAGAAACAAAGAGACTATAGCTCTGCTACACTGAAAAGTTGCAAAGCCAGTAGAATTATGGCACCGTACCAAATGGTTAAAATACCGTATTTCACTGTTTCTAAGATATTTCTCTTTTTCACATTTTAACGTCTCTGAAATCAGAATTCACCTTAAAAATCTATCACATGACATAATTTAAATTGGCAGCAGATTTTTCTTAGGGGTGCCTTAAATAATAGTGCAAACTATAGTCGGTGCTGTCATAGATTCAAAATTCCATAAGTAGGCCTTCTCTATAACCTGTTTGAAGCTATAAACCCTTGTTGTCCAAACAGTATTTGCTCATATATACATAAACCAGGTGCACTGGAGATTTTTGTTGTCAAACTCTGACCTGATTTTGGTAATGTTTCATTAATGTCCTTTTAAAGCTTCCTTACCTAGTTTTGGAAATGCATAAGCTTATGCTTACACTGAAATTATAACTAGTATCTGTGGGCAATGAACTTGATATTTTTTTAATCCAAATAAATACATCGTTTTTCTTTACTAGGAAGAAAATGCTCGGAAAAGAATTCTGTGTCCTTTAGATCCAAAACAGTAAGTATGGGTCAAATAAGGGTTTTTCTATACTAGAAAGATTGTCACAAGTCTTATTTTAAATAATTTTCTCTTTAAATTTAGCACAGTATATGAAGATCAACTAGCAAAACATTTGAAAAAGTGTAACGCAAGAGAGAAGCCAAAACCTGTAAGTGTTTGATCAGTAAAACTGAATGGTGAAACGTGTAGTATGTAATGTTTATATGTACTTAGTTGATTACAAATGTGAATATTTAACAAGACTTGTGCCTCAGAAGGCTTGAATGTGGTAAATACTTTTGAGAGTATATATAGACTGTGAATCCACTTAGAGTCCTAATTCAGATAATATAATTTTATGCAACAGGAGTGTTATTTAGAGAATAATTTCTCAATTTATTCAAAATATTTATTTAGTGCTTACTAACTTTATTTCAATAAAATATGGTCCCAGCCTTCAAGGAATTTGAAACTGGTAAGTAAACTTATAAATAATGGATATTATTTAATAAGTTCATTGAAAGAAGAAAATAAAACTTAAAATTCTATCCAAGGGGCCAAGAAAACCTTCCCAGAGAGAGAAACACTTGAGCTGAGGCTTGATTTGGCAAAGAAAAGGAAGAGTCCTAGGTGAAAAGAACTATATGTGCAAAGGCAGAAATTGAGAAACCACATTGAGACTTTCAAGGAACTTGGACTTTATTCTGAAAGATGTGGGGAACTACTGAAAGATTTTAAGTTAGAGAATGGCGTGGCCAGATTTACCTCTTAAAAACTTTCAGAGCAGTGAGGGAGGATGGCTTGGAATTAGAATGACTAGTTAAAGGCTATTGCTGAAGTCCAGATGGGACATGATAAGAGACTAAATGAAAGAGGACGGAAAGGGTAGGGAATAGATGCAAGAATTATTTGGGTAGCAGAATCCATAAAACTCAGTGGCTAAAAACAGAGGGTTAGATATGTGAGTCTGAAAGTCAGTAGAGTGGTGGAGTCAAATACATACAAGTCATAGGCCTTGGATTTTTAAGTTACCCTGGGGAAGAGATTGGAAGGGTGAAGGAAGAACTTGTTTATTCCATAGATATTAATTGAACATTTATGCCAGACATTGTACCAAGTACCCTGCCTATAAGAACATTACAGTCTCGTGAGAGAGACAAAAAACACAATATTGTGAATGTTAAAACTGATTAAGTACAGAGTGCTATGAAAGAATAAAGGAGATGAATCCTATCCTTTTTCTGGGAGAAATAGGGGGTGAAAGAGATGGGGAAGGAGTCAGGAAGCTTCTCTGAAGGAATATCCCATAATGAGTCCTATAGGCTAAAGGAGAATCTGCCAGACAGCAAAGAAAACATGTGTAAGGGCCTAGAAGTGAGAGAGCTGCTAGCTTTGTCTGGGACTGGGCATCGCACATGACTGGAGTATAGAATACAAGGGGACAGCTGAGTAGAAGAGGGGACTCAAGAGGTAGCAGAAAATAGAGCATGAGACTAAGGACAGAATTATAGGTGACACTGACATTAAAGGATGAGCTGCTCCCACAGTATAATAAAAAAATTAAAGATATTTCTCATATCACACAAAAATATATAAAATAGAAGAAATCAGACCTAACCTGTATAATATGTGTATCTTATCTGCTTTTAGACTGGCTATCTGATGAACAGCCAAATATAGT